ATGCAGTAGTTCTCTAGGCAACTGTACCAGTACATGGTACGAATCCAGCTCTCCCAGTTGCTTTAAGTGTACAAATGAGTACTGTTGTTTCACAACAGGGACTTAGAAAGGCTGACCAGCCATTTAGAGCTATTTAGACAAGAGCCATTTAGAGAAATATTTAGAGAAATATTCAGGTTGGAATGTACCTCTGAAGGTCACTGGGTCCAACCTCCCACTTAAAGCAGAGCCAACTTCAATGTCAGATCCAATTGCCTGTCCAGTTGTGTTTTGAATATATCCAAGGATGGAGATTTCACAGCCCCTCTGGACACCCGTTCCAGAGACCAACCAACCACTCCCATGTATAGGTGATTTTTTTTCCTTATATCAAATTGGACTTTCTCTTTCTGCGACTTGTGACTGCTCCCTCTCATCCTCACACTGTGCAACTCCCAGACAAGTCTGTTCTGTCTCCATTACACACAGTGAAAGACAGTGCTAGATGCCTTCTTTGCCATAGTCTTTAATAGAAAGACCGGTTGTTCTTGGCGTACCCAGTCCCCTGAACTGGAAAACAGGGACAGGGAGCAGAATGAAGACCCATAATCCAAGGGGAAATGGTTAGCAACCTGTTACACCACTTAGACACACACAAGTCTATGGGGCTGGATGGGATCCACCCAAGGGTACCGAGGGAGCTGCCAGAGGCGCTCACCAAACCACTTCCAATCCTTTATCAGCAGTCCTGGCTAAACAGGGAGGTCCCAGTTGAATGCAGGTTAGCAAATGTGACGCCCATCTACAAGAAGGGCTGGGAGGAGGATCCGGGGAACTACAGGCCTGTCAGTCTGACCTCGGTGCGAGGGAAGGTTATGGAGCAGATCATCCTGAGTGTCATCACGTGGCACATACAGGACAACGAGGTGAACAGGCCCAGTCAGTGTGGGTTCATGAAAGGCAGGTCCTGCTTGACCAACATGATCTCCTTCTATGACCTGGTGACCCGCTTAGTGGACGAGGGAAAGGCTGTGGATGTTGTCTACCTAGACTTTAGTAAAGCCTTTGACACCATCTCCCACAGCATTCTCCTGGAGAAACTGGCTGCTCATGGCTTGGATGGGCATACCTTTCACTGTGTAAAAAACTGGCTGGATGGCTGGGCCCAAGGAGCTATGGTGAATGGAGTTAAAATCCGGCTGGTGGCCGGTCACAAGTGGTGCCCACCAAGGCTCAGTTCTGGGGCTGGTTCTATTTAATATCTTTATCAATGATCTTGACAAGGCGATTGAGTTGGGTGGGAGTGTCGATCTGCTTGAGGGTAGAAAGGCTCTACAGAAGGAACTCGACAGACTGGACCGATGGGCTGAGGCCAACTGTGTGAGGTTCAACAAGGCCAAGTGCTGGGTCCTGCACTTTGATCACAACAACCCCATGCAACGCTAAAGTCTTGAGGAAGTGTGGCTGGAAAACTGCCCAGAGGAAAAGGACCTGGGGGTGTTGGTCGACAGCCAGCTGAACATGAGCCAGCAGTGTGCACCAGGTGACCAAGAAGGCCAACAGCATCCTGGCTTGTATCAGAAATAGCGTGGCCTGCAGGAGCAGGGAAGTGATTGTCCCCCTGTACTCGGCACTGGTGAGGCCACATCTCCAATACTGTAATTCGGTTTTGTGCCCCTCAGTACAAGAAAGACATTGAGGTGCTGGAGCATGTCCAGAGAAGGGCTATGAAGCTGGTGAAGCGTGTAGAGAACAGGTCTTATGATGAGTGGCTGAGGGAACTGGGATTGTTTAGTGTGGAGAAGGGGAGGCTGAGGGGAGACCTTATTGCTCTCTACAACTACCTGAAAGGAGGTTGTAGTGAGGTGGGTGTTGGTCTCTTCTCCCAAGTAGGTAGCGATAGGACAAGAGGAAATGGGCTCAAGCTGCGTCAGGGGAGGTTTAGATTGGATAGTAGGAAAAATTTCTTCACTGAAAGGGTTATCAAGCACTGGAAGAGGCTGCCCAGGGAAGTGGTAGAGTCACCATCCCTGGAGGTATTTAAAAGCCATGTGGATGTGGCTCTTAGGCATATGGTTTAGTGGTGGACTTGGCGGTGTTAGGTTAATGGTTGGACTTGATGATCTTAATGTTCTTTTCCAACCTAAACGATTCTATGATTCTATCCGCTTAGCTTATATTCTACAGGCTTTTAATAACAAATCTCCCAGGCAAAACATCACTAATCACTGCAGAGCACAGCAAACTGCAAAAACCAACACCAATCTTTAACATGTAGAGCCCAAAAAAGGAGCATGGTGCCGATCAGGTAAACTAAGATCGAGAACAGGTGAATCAATATTGTGACCCACAACTACTGACAGATACAAATTCCTCAGTAAGTTCTGGTTAACCTGTTATGACTTCAAACCCTTTGTAGCCCCGTGTTGGGTACCAAAAAGGACTGCTGTCGTTTAGCCCCTGTCGGCAAGGGGCTAAACCAAGAAACACACAGCCGCTCGCTCACTCTCCCCCCGGTGGGATGGGAGAGAGAATCAGAAGGGCAAAAGTAAGAAAACCTGTAGGTTGAGATAAGAACAGTTTAACAATTGAAATAAAATAATAACAATAAAAATAACAATATTAGTGATTTTATCTCCTTAGCTTATATTCTACAGGCTGAAAAATCCCAGTTCCTTCAGACCCCCGTAATCATCTTGGTGCCCTACTGCTGAACTTACCCAGTTTGTGAATAACTTCCTTGTCCTAGGAGGCTGAAATCTGGACATGAAACTGCACCTGCAGACTCCTGAGTGCTGAGCAGAGGGACTAATCACTGCCCTTGACCTGCTGGGTCCATGCCTCCCAGTATAGCCTAGTATGTGTCTAGTTTTCATTGCCATAAAGAAGCACTTCTGATTTGTGTTCGGTTTGCTGCCCACCAGGACCTCAGAGCCTTTTTTGCAGATTTGACAGTCAGTCACTCTCTAGGATACACGCAGTTAGTTTTGGCCAGGTATTTGGCTTTGCATTTGCTTCAGGAGGCTCCTATCAACCCATTTCTTCAGCCTGTCAAGAGCCCTCTGAATAGCAGGCCTGCCCTCCAGTGTATCAGGCAGTGCCCTCAGTTTGCTGTCATCCGTAGTCTTGCTAAGACCGCATTTCATCCCGTTGTCCAAGTTACACTATGAGTCTCAGCACTGATCCTTGAGGAGCATCGCTCATAACCGGTCATTGCATTCAACAACAGCGTGGGCTGTTTTCCTAATACCTTGTCCTAACCCTATGGCCGTGAAAAATTATTGTCCAGCTGAGTAGTAAAGGCCTCTGTTTGGACAAAGGGACACACAGATTGAGTCATTCACTCAATATTCTAAAATACTAAGAAGTTAAAGAGAAATGAAAGTAGTAAAAAGGCAAGTGAGCAGTAAGAACACCAAGAGCTAGATACCGACAGAAGTAAATTCTGGGCTGATATCAAGTTAGTGGTGGCTGATCTCTTAACTTGTAAGTAACACACTTCAGCTCTACGATTAGTTAGTGTTTTAGACATACTCCTGTCCTTTGAGATTCCTGTTGATTCCAGGCCACCACTCAATATGTCAGCCTGTTTTCAATCCTATTCTTAATTTTCTAGTTGCCCATGTGTACTTTAAGAGATCTCAAGAAACTTCAAGTGTGAATAGGCCTGTTCTTGACAGTAGAACAATGGCATTCAGGCACAAGACATTTTTATTTGTGTGGCAGTTTGGCCATGGCTGGATGCCAAGTGCCCACCAAAGCCGCTCTATCACTCCCCTTCTCAACTGGACAGGGAGAGAAAATTTAGTGAAAAACCTCGTGGGCTTAGGTAAGGACAGGGAGATCACTCAGAAACTACCATCACTGGCAAAACAGACTTGACTTGGGGAAAATCAGTTTAATTTATTACCAATCAAAACTGAGTAGGAGAGAGGAGTGAGAACATCTGTAGAGCAATGAGAAATAAACCCAAACCTTACAACACCTTCCCCATACCCCTCCCTTCTTCCCGGCCTCAACTTCATTCCCGATTTCTCTGCTTCCTCCCCCCAAGCAGTGCAGGGGGACGGGGAACGGGGGTTGTGTTCAGTTCATCACATGTTGTCTCTGCCGCTCCTTCCTCCTCAGAGGGAGGACTCCTCACACTCTTCCCCGGCTCCAGTGTGGGGTCCCACCCACACGAGACAGTCCTTCATGAACTTCTCCAGCGTGGATCCTTCCCACGGGCTACAGTTCTTCATGAACTGCTCCAGCATGGGTCCCCCATGGGGTCACAAGTCCTGACAGCAAACCTGCTCCAGCGTGGGTTCCTCTCCCCACGGGGCCACAGGTCCTGGCAGGAGCCTGCTCCAGCGTGGGCTTCCCACAAAGGGGTCACAGCCTCCTTTGGGCACATCCACCTGCTCTGGCGTGGGGTCCTCCAAGGGCTGCAGGTGGATATCTGCTCCACCGTGGACCCCCATGGGCTGCAGGGGCACAGCTGCCTCACCATGGTCTTCACCAGGGGCTGCAGGGGAATCCCTGCTGTGGTGCCTGGAGCACCTCTTCCCCCTCCTGCTTCACTGACCTTGCTGTCTGTAGGGTTGTTCTAATCTTCTAGCAGCTTCTCACAGAAGCCACCCCTGTAGACCCTCTGCTACCAAAACCTTGCCATGCAAACCCAAGACAATTTGTCTCAATAAATTCATTCTTATTCTTTTTGATATGAGACAAACCCATTATTTTTCCTTAAACAAATTAAAATTTAACTAGAAGTTGTTTTCTGGAGTATTTCAATCATATTCACAAAATGGTCAATATCCAATAATTACAAGTTACACAAACAATTAAAGTTAGTCAAAATTAAAAGTGAATACAATGGCATTTAAAAAGTTTACATGTGAAGTATCATGGCTGCACCACTGATTTTGCCCAGAAAAGGAAGAAATGTAGAATGCCTATATATTTCTCCAGACTTTCCACAGGAATATACAGTTGCTTGAGCTAAGAAATACACTTTCACATTCCTCAGTTTTTCGTGGTTATTTCACTATGTCAGCAACTAATATTATCTCTTCATTTTCAGATGTTATTGACTGAATTTTGCTCTCCATCAGCTGAAAGGAAAATATATACTTCCATTAGTTTTATACATAAGGCTAGGTTAGCCTCTACTTACTTATGAACAAGTCTGAGAGAATTTCAACTTTTGTTGCATATTTTATAGAAATATTTCCCTGTTTTGTTTCTTAGCTGATAAGCTTTCCTTAGGTGGACATAACAGTAAAACTTCAGTAACTTTGTAATGCTGACAGATGATTTTTGACTGGCCTGGAAATGGACAGGGCGAACAGGTGCTTTTCTCCAATGCACCACACACATTACCAAAACTCATGTCGAATTAATACAAAAGGATTAAGTTTGCTAAGGTGTGAAAGCAGATGAATACACATTAGTCTGAAGTTTAGCTAATTGAACAGACCCTGAGAAATTACTAGGCATATCATGATAAACTGCTGGAAAAGAAAAGGGTGCAAGCAAGCTGATGTTTGCTATGCTGGTCTGGTCAAATGCTGTGTGTGACCACCACAGTCTGTATGTTTTCTGTGTCACCTCGCTTTCTATCCTGTATGTCTAACTTGCTAGCAAACTTCATTGAAGGTGGACAAGTGGGTGAGTAGGAGAGACGTGTACCTGGAGAGACAGAAGGTGAGAGCTGGTGAGCTGGTGGGGGCACCCGGGGTCCGGACACAGAGATCAGATGTGAGGAACTTGCGAATTTATGGTTGTTGTGAATGAAGAGAGTGAGGGTGTATGCACATCTCACTGGCAAACTTCAGCCCTGCTCAGCTGGAGAGGAGCAGGAGGACTGGGATGTGTGTGACCCTATTTATGTGACTGCTGGTGGTGTTGATCTGGTGCCAACAAAGGCACCTGCTCTGGTCTCTGTGGCTGGCTGTATTAGTGTCCTGTGTGTCTGTCTTTGTACCTGCGTGTGCCACGTGTTGGGAAAACATACAGCCCTTGTTGCTGTCTGGACCTACCAATGGGAGCATCAGCGCCCGCATCTGTGAGCCTGAAATGGGAGAAACCCCCTGATTCTGGAAGAGCACTGCATTTAACTTCCCTTAAAAAACTTGCCTGCTGATTTTCTCTTGTAATTCCTCAAAGTATGGCAAAGAGATGAGTTATTCTCTGTGTTAAGTTCCTTATCGTTTTAACAAAATACTTGCAGTAGGGTGTTGTATGCATTTCACACATTTAGTATAAAATAGAAAGAGAACATACCTCTGGATTTGTATCATGCAGTCCATGAAATGCATTTTTTGGTTCTGGGATTTGTGGAAATGCTGTTTTCCAACAGCCAGTCCTGGAGATCAAAAGGATGGAATAGAAAATAAAAATTAAATAACTGTCTGTGTCAAAACCATTGCACCCATGAACCATCTCTTACCTTTGTCTTCCAGGATAGAAGAGAAATGAAAAATATATATCATCTCAGCACAGAATGAACACATATCAGGAAAACACAAATTGGACGGTAATAGTTTCATTTTTGATTAAAGTTTCACTAGTAGTTATTTCCTTTTTAAAAGGAAAAGCAACTCCCAATTGTGCTCTTTAAGTCACTACAACCAGTGAAAAGTGGATGTAAAAATTTTTACAAGTTGGAAGAACAGTATCTGCTCTGAATTACTGTATATTTCTACACAAAGTGTATGATATGGCAGAATATCCTTTTTCTTCCTGTTTCACTTCCATAGTTTATTTCAAGAAACAAGCTGCTTCGCTTATGTGCTTTCGGATACATTTAGTTCGCTAGGGCAATTCTAGTGAATGTTGCAAAATCCTTACTAGTAAGTACAGTCAACCTGTGTGTTTGTAATAAATTCAGCAGTTCAAGAAATCAGAAAACCTATGGCATAGACAGTCTACATTGCAAAAATTCAGAGCAGCTGTAGGAGTAATTGCATGTAATTCCTCTCCTTGCCATGTTGACAGAAGAGGCCCTGGAAAAAGTTGTGTGGATCAGCTGGGGAGGGACTCTGGGCATCACCATTATAGTACCTGCCTCAGGATCATTCATTTGGGTTAATTTCTACTACAGTGTGAGTGAAAATGTTTTATCTATACTACACAGACACGTCTACCTTATTTGTTTAAGAACTGCAGATTTTTCACACACCCACACAAAATAAAATAAATGCAAAAATTAAGTTTACCTTTTGCAGAACAAAACTGTGACAATTGCCACTAAGAGTGTTGTAACTGCTACCACAGGTAAAGTCCATACTGAAGAAGAAATAATTTCTTCATTCCCTGAAAGAGAAACAGTCATAAAGTATTATTTTTAATAAAGAGGAATAGATGCACAGCTGGGTCAAACATTTACTCTGGTGACCAACTGGTGAATGTCAGTCTGAAAGGTTTGTCTCAGAATAAAAATCAGCTCTTTAATTTACCAATTTAGCAGTAATGTCTGCTCAGAGGGATTAACATTGAGCCTGTTTGCCCATTCCATGCAGTAAGCAGGTATGCACTTCAGCTGCAGATGTGTAACTTTTTATATTTATTTCCAGTGTCAGAGTGCTAAGGGATGTATTAATTCTCTTCGTCCTCTTCTTCTCGGTAACGTGGAGGGAAACAAAATGTTTGCCAAGCCTTTATATATGTGTGTGTCTGCAGATGAGCAGCAATGAGAGAGGTAGACAGGACATCACTGGGGGAAGAGTAGCCCAAGGCATGGATTTGCATTCTTACCAAACTCTACAGGCGCACTCCACTCCCCCCAGGCTGGGCTCACGAAGCAGGCACTGCCAGCTGTTCTCATTTTCAAGAGGTACTTCTTTCTTGTATTGGGTCTTGGAAATGTGTGACTACTCCCCCCTTCCTAAAAACAAAGCAAAACTGAGTTGTTTTTCTTTGTTGCATGTCTAGGTGTTCATAATATGCAAGTGCCATTTACCAGCAAAACCTTTACAAGGCTAGGAGAGCACTGCTTGTTAAAGACACCTGCTGTTACAAAGCAAAAAATAAACATATGCATGTTTGTTATGTATATACTATGTATGTTTCTGTGTATCTCCTTTAAAAAATAACCTGTCACTCAGTAAACATTTTGTGTTTAGAAGGTTTTCGTCTTTTAAAATATATCCTGTAATTTCTTACAATATAGTCTGATCTATTGATAATTTCCCTTGGTACATTGACAGAGGCAGAAAAATATCTTGAATTGTCTCATTTCAATACTGCTAGAATTGAGTGATTTGAGGAATAAACTGTCTGCATGCACTTCACCTTCCTCAGTCTTTGCACTATGACTTTTCAGGAAAAGAATAACTTTCCAGCCAAACCTGTAAAACAAGCAGAAGACTGCAATACTTAGTGGTACTACAGTTTGCCAAAACATGCTTGCTCTTGGGTACTTTCAGGATAGAGGTGGGACGTGCAAGCGATTAGAAAGAGGTGCTGCATCCCTGGAGGACAGCCTTCATCCTAAAGCATCCCAAAGGATCCCAAAGGACTTTTGCAGTCTTTGTTTTTAATGAACAAAATTAAATTCCTGGGAGGTGTTTTTCTTTGTGTCTCTTTTCTCTGCTGTCACTGATGTGTAACTTCAAATTCTGATCCAAATATTTGAGGGGGAGAGTGGAAAATATAATGTAAAATGGAAGGGTTTTCAAAATACTTAGAGAATAGTAATAAAGTTCTGCCTTGACTGTAGAATAAATGTTGTATGTCATGGTGATTTAGCAGTTTGACACATTCATGAAATTTATAAATTAGGATCCCATAAAGCATAGAACACTGAACACACACTGATTTAAAGGCATTTGCACACTATTTACTTTTCAGAAATGACTATGAAACTAACACATATTGCTGATTAATAGAACAAGCAGACTTACTTGTATAGAAGTATATTTGGTTCTTCCCTCAGCATTATCCTGTAAATTGAGAAAAAAACCTTTTATTTTTATGATTGCTTGTTTTGTGTTTAGACTATAAGTAATTTTTATCTAGTGTCCCCTTTTTCTGCATCACTCTTATCTACTCAACATTTTTTCAAAAGAACTAGTAATTTGTCTAACATTTAGTATCTAATATGTAGTTCTTCTACAATGCCAGGCTTATGTAGTAACTAATTCTTCTATGGAAAAGTATTTGTTTTCCTTATTACCAGAGTTGAGAAATAAATTTTATTTCAGATTGGTGATTAAACAGAAACACAAGCAAACCAGACCTGAATGAAAACTGTAACTTTATTCTTACAAACACCAGGAAAAGAAAAAAAAAAAAGATAAAAATCTGTGAAATAAACTTTTTAGTTTACATCTAGTGTTTATATTTTACAATAAATGTCACTATATTTAATTGCAAATACTAGGTAAATATTGTTTCCTTTTCCCTCAGATTAAAATATTCAGGACTGACATGGATTGTCAGATATTTTAGGCTGCCCTCCAACTACATTTTTGATAGCTGGAACAAAATTCACTCTTCTCTTCTGAATAGCCATAATGACTACCATGTGATGTAGTGACCACATACAACTAATGACTGCAGACTATACCATGTCCATTAGCCTGCCAGTTATGTATTTTTTTAATTATTTTGCATTCTGTATTATTCCATTTTAAAACAAAATTATATTAGTCCAAACTTGTTTTATCAAATAACTGCATGCATGCTCATGTGGCACCTGAACATGAGTTTGCAAGGTATGTTGCTGTACAGGACGGCTCCTAGAACCTGTAAACAAGCTAGCTTAAGCACAGGGATCAATCTAGGAGAAAGTACAACAACATAGTCTCCCTTTTTTTGTGTTTAAACTAAAATAATATATGAGAAATGAAAACAATTAGGTCATGGAAGACTTCAGAAAGTGGAGTTCCAGAAGGACAGCTGGTCTTTTAAAAATTTTGGAAGAAGAGATGTATTAAAGGGCACTGTGTTCAAAAAAATGAAGGAGAAAATGTGTATGTTAGTTAAAAGAAACTCCCTTCTGCAGAGGATGGTGGCACCAATCTACTGACCTGACCTGATGGAGGTCTGTTGCTTGCCAGGGGCCAGGATCCAGGATGCTGCAGAAGGACTGCCGGACTTGTCTGGCCATTGAACTATTACCCCTTCCTGCTCTTCTGTGTGGGCACCAATGATACAGCCAGGGGTAACCTGGATGGTTTCAAGGGTGATTGTAGAACACTGGGGGGATGGTGAAGGGCAGGAAGCCCAGATGGTGTCTCCTCAGCCCTTCCAGTGACAGGGAAAGGCTTGAGTAGAATTGAACTCATCCAGCAGGTCAACACCTGTCTGAGTGGCTGGTGTCACAGGCAGGGCTTTGGCTTCTACAGCCTTGGGACCCTTTTTGAGAAACAGAGGCTACTGAGCAGGCATAGGATGCACATCACCAAGTGGGGTGAGAATGTCCTTGCAAACAGGCAAGAACCATTGTCCTGGTCCTTGTGCTCTATGTAAAAGAGTGCCTTGAGTACACAGAGCTCTGTCTTGGGACAAATGATGAACGAGAGAGTAGGAGAGCTTGTGAGTAGGCATCAAAGGACAGACAAACACAGGTGACAATGTAGTAGGTGTTTGTTCCAGATCTCCTGATCAAGAAAAGGAAGCAGATGAGATGCTTTTCAGGCAGCTTGAGAAAGCCTCACAGCCACAGCCCTTGGTACTCAAGGGAAATTGTCCTGGAGGGCAAAGTTGCTCATTGATTTAAAAAGACAGCCTTCTCAGAGCACAAGAATGGTCCATTCCGGTGTGCAGAAAATCAAGCAAGTGTGCCAGGTGAGCACGGCAGGACATGCAGCTTGAGTCTGAACTCAGAGACAAAAAGGAAGTATGCAGAGGGTAGAAGAAGGGATTTGGGAGGTGTCATCTGCTCATGTAGGAATGGAGTCAGGAAAGCCAAAGCTCAGCTGGAGTTGAGACTAGTGAGGGGGGTGAACACAAGAAAGGTTTTTATGAGTACACTGGCAGCAAAAGGGAGGTTAAGGAGAATGCAGTCCTGTTGCTCACTGAGTTGGGGAAACCTAGTGACAAGGGACATGGGAAAGGCTGAGGTATTTGGCGCATTTTTAGCTCAGTTTTCACTGGTAAGGTTTGCCTTCAGGTTTCCCAGATGTCCTGATCTATAAAGCGTTAACTTAAAACATCACTGAAGAAGAATCCAAGATTCTCAGCAAGTTCAGTTTACTGGTGTCAGACATGAAAAAATGTGATTGAAATTATGTTATGGTGTTATCCTTTTTGTTTGCTCCCAATGCAAGTAATTGCCAATTGTGAAAACAAAATTTAAAGGCTAACTGTAATCCAATATATGTTGGTCACAGTGTATTAGTAAAACAATACAAGTTTATACGTGGCAGTGGTAAAGCAATAAATTTTGCAATACAGTAATTGCTGGACCTTGACATAATTAGTAACACGAAAACTTCTAATGATAATTTAAAAAATGCTAAGCAATTCAGACCACTTTTGAACTGAATATTCTTTATAAACTGACTATTAGGCATATTAGAAGACTTTAAGAAGCATGTATTGCTTTACTGGAATATACTTTTATTCCAATGTCACACAGAGTTCTCTATAAGCTTTCTTTGCTGCAAAGGCCAAGGGATTCGGAGAAGTAATGCAGTTTTGTAGCAGTTAGTTGGACTTGTAAAAAAACTCATCTATGAAATAGCAAGCTCGATCCATACGAAGAAGTTCCAAATAACAGAAATCTATGGAATGCCTTAAATCAGCCACTAAGTGGCCAAGGCTGGTTGTAGTACAGGCAGGTTTTCCCTTTGTAGTCACTATCTGCCACCCTGTGGTCATTTGGCGCAATTGCTGCCACAGCTACAGTAGTTTAGGTCTACTCTCGTAGCGGAACACAGCAATCTCCTTCCCTATTACTGCAAAAAGACTTGTAAAGCCAAGGTCTGAGTTTGACTTTCAGTAGCTTAAATGATTCCCTCAGTAACCTCTGCTTATTCACACTGCCTTTCTGCTTTCTCTCACATTTATTTTCCTTTTATTTAATATTATATATCTTCAACTCTTGGACCAACAGGTGTGTTGCTTTTATATGACATCTAGATAAGCTATTTACATTTCATATATATAGAAATTTCATTCACCTCTATCAGCTCATATTTGTTAAGTGGATGCACATTTCTCTGTCCAGTATTTACAGCTGGGCTCTGCCCTTTCACAGAGATGCAGTCATCACTGGAAGGACCGTAGTCCAGGACAGCTCCAACAGGTCTAGTGAAAGAAGTGCCTTTTCTGAGTTTTGTCACAGCAAAAGCTGTGATAAGTTCAAGTCTTGATTAATCGCATTTCTCCTCTTACTCTCACACACAGTCAGCCAGTGTATCTCCAGCAATATCTCACACAGGGGAACGGGGATAAAAAAATGGGGCAGTATGGCATAACAGGGTGCCTGAAAGGCACAAGCACAAAGGAATATAGTGCTACATATGAAGAAGGCTACACCGTACAAGAAAGATTGATTTTCTTTCTATCCATGTGTATTGGTAACTGCAAACACATGTATTAATATTAAAGGTAGGTGAAGAAATTCCTCTTACCTTATAATTTATGTTGATTTCATATTTAAAACACTTGTCTTTGTTAGAATGACTTATTTGGGGTCGTTGCCACTGAATTATGCAATCATTTTTCATTTCATCACAGTTGACAGTGATATTTGATGGAGGCGTGAGCTTTTCTGAAAGGATATAACCAAGAATCCAAATAATTAAAATCACTTGATCTCTTTTTGCTTTGATAAAAGAGAGTGCAATTGCAAGTAACATGTCTATGAAGAAAGGTACTCATTTGTATCTATTTTTCTAAGGAACTGTATTAGAAATAATTGAAAGACCAAAGTTCTTTAAATCCTGTCCCCAGGATCAGAAAAAACAGGGACTAAGCCAGGAAACATGACTTAGGAGCATACAAAGATACAAACCCCCTCCATCTACTTTTCTGGATGAATAAGGTAGAGTCTTGTCTTCTTTTTATAAGGAGAAGAAGAACTTAGCAGAAGAACAAGCTGATGCTAACCCTAATGTAAGAAGTCCAAAGGTCATTTCTTTCTTCAAGCCTCCTCACATGATGCTTCTGTAACATGAAGGTGTTGCTTGCTTGGTGTTGTGAACTATGCAGTTTATCCCCCCCTTCCAAAAAATTACCCATACAAATTTAAGAATGACAATTCAGTTTTAAGAATCCAGCCAACTTCTTCACATATCTTCCCTAAGTTCACAGATGTGAGCAAACATTTGAGGACCTTTATATTTTGGTCATCACCAAGGACTTGATTATTGTAGCAGCAAAAGACAGCCACTCATGACAGAAAGGTTGATAAAAGGCTGATAGAGGAAACCTTAGTTTCAGCTAGACTGCTACTTTACATCAATATTTAGAGATAGGGCTGGCCTGTTTGTGATGGGCTGTTTGGTCAAAGAACAGTCTTGGTTTCATCTGCCATAAGTGATATTACAGCTCAATTCCTTCTCATTATAGAATGGAGCCTTATTTATCCATTTTTTGGAGGCAATACCAAAAATAGTGGGAATTTGTTAAAAAGGCTTTGCCACAGTAAAAGTAATTGCACAGGATGCTTCCAAGTAGAGCACCACATATGAAAGAGTGCATGAAAACCTGGGACAATTTGTTGTGGTGGGTTGACTCTGGCTGGATGCCTAGCACCCACCAAAGCCGCTCTATCACTTCCCTTCTAAGTGGGCAGGGGAGAGAAAAAACAACGAAAAGCTCGTGGGTCGAGATAAGGACAAGGAGAGGTCACTCAGCAATTACTGTCACTGGCAAAACAGACAGAAAATCAGTTTAATTTGTTACCAGTCAAAACTAAGTAGGATAATGAGAAATAAAAACTAAACCTTAAAACACCTTCCCCGCACCCCTCCCTTCTTCCCGGCCTCAACTTCATTCCCGATTTCTCTACCTCCTCCCCTCAAGCAGCCCAGGGGGATGGGGAATGGGGGTTGCAGTCAGTTCATCACATCATCTCTGCCGCTCCTTCCTCCTCAGAGGGAGGACTCCTCACACTCTTCCCCTGTTCCAGCATGGGGTCCCACCCACATGAGACAGTCCTTCATGAACTTCTCCAATGTGGGTTCTTCCCACGGGCTACAGTTCTTCATGAACTGCCCCAGTGTGGGTCCTTTCCATGGGGTCACAAGTCCTGCCAGTAAACCTGCTCCAGCGTGGGCTTCTCTCTCCCCATGGGTCCACAGGTCCTGCCAGGAACCTGCTCCAATGTGGGCTTCCTACAAAGGGGTCACAGCCTGCTTTGGGCACATCCACCTGCTCTGGCGTGGGGTCCTCCAAGGGCTGCAGGTGGATATCTGCTCCACTGTGTACCCCCATGGGCTGCAGGGGCACAGCTGCCTCACCATGGTCTTCACCAGGGGCTGCAGGGGAATCCCTGCTGTGGTGCCTGGAGCACCTCCTCCTCCTCCTTCTTCACTAACTTTGGTGTCTGCAGAGTCGTTGCTCTCATATATTCTCACTCCTCACTCCAGCTGCAGTTTTTTGTCCCTTTGGGTTTTTTTCCACCCTTCTTAAATATGTTATCCCAGAGGTGCTACCACTGTCGCTGATGGGCTCGGCCTTGGCCAGCAGTGGGTCCATCTTGGAGCCAGCTGGCATTGGCTCTATTGGACATAGGGAAAGCTTCTAGGAGCTTCTCACAGAAGCTACCCCTGTAGCCCCCCCACTACCAAAACCTTGCTATGCAATCTCAATACGTTTGTATACATATTAATTTCTTTAATCATGGGTATGATGTCAGTGTATGCCTTCCCCACGGGCAATGAGAAGGAGAAATCAGTGCTCATAAATTTTGCCTGAAAAGTCTCCTCTGTTGAAAGGTCTGTGACCATCATTGAAATGATAGAAGGGGGAAGTACAATTTCTTTAGTTCTGTGGACCTTGCTGGAGAAACACCTAAAAACAATAAGGGTAGATTGCTAAAGAATCTGAGGCAGGCTGCAGCTGTGGAGCTTTGTTGCTTAATGTTCCTCATTTCTCTTTTGCTTGGGGAATAGGTTTTCTTGAAGAGGTCACAGTCTCTTACTTTCAGCTTTAGGTGAGACAGGGTACTTGGTTCCTTCTCAGGGACAGATGCTCTACTACTCTCATGTAACAATGAAAATAAAGCAGAAAGCAATTATTTACTTACCAATTTTATACAGATCAATGTACTCATCATAGAACTCGATCAGGGAGTCTTTGCTAGACCCGTTCACCAGGAAGTAGGCTTTTTCAATCTCTATCCTCACATTTTTGAATCTACATCCCACGTTTCTGCCATTTTCACCTTTCATGTAAAGCTCACATTCCACCTGGTCGTCGTCTCTGTATATAGCAAGGTATTTTGGTTAAACGTGGGCCGTGTGATGTGTCAAATGAGAATTCAGATTTCCCTAGACTCCAGTAGACCTACTTACCTCGAGTTCTGCCAGTAGAGATAATATTGGGTATCTTCTGGAGCATCTCTGCCTGCCTGCCAAGTGCAGTTCATGAGGGAAACGTTATAAATCACACAGGAGAAATTTTCAATGGCCGACCCAGTCGTGCCTGCAAACACAGGAGTATCTGTGATGAGGAAAAATTGTGTGACTGCTCCAAACTGGAGGATCTTGGCACATGCTTAGAAATGTTAGACACCTGCAACTCCAGCTGGTTATTGCTTGGGTTAGGAATGACTTGCTTCATTTTAGGTAGTAATACTGGAAGATATTTGCACTGACAGATTCAATGAAGAATTTGTCATGGATAAATCCTCCAAAGATATGATTATAGCTTCGGCTGCTAGAATAAGCCTCAGGGGAGCCTACAATGATCTAGTATAAGCTGACACCTGAAGTGGCTACCCCTGTGCTTTGAATTGTTCCTATTCAAAAGGAGACACTGATGCCACAATGCCACAAACTGAAACATTTGTGTGTCATCCTTCAGTACTCTGTTGTAGCATTTCTATTTGAAGGATGTTCTTCAACACCCTGTCAATTGAGTTGAGACCATGAGGAGCTTCCCTGTGGACTCCAGAGAGGGTGAAAAACCAAAGTGCATAGCTGTAATTTTTTCAAGACTTCAGGGAGATGTAGATGCAAACTTATGAGGTATTTGTGCTCCGCAGTGATACCTGGGATTAACATGAGGAAAATTCTCCTGATCTTCCCATAATCCAGGAGGAAGCAGTTAATGACCTGCTATGCCACCTGGATGCTCACAAGTCTATGGGGCTGGATGGGATCCACCCGAGAGAGTACAGAGGGAGCTTGCCAAGCCACTCTCCATCATTTATCAGCAGTCCTGGTTAACAGGGAAGG